GCTTGACCACCTTTATGGTCAGAAAGATTTTTCTGATCTCCAGTCTAAACTTCTTATACTACAGTTTGAAGCCATTGTTCATAGTCCTATCCTTTACAGCCACAGAGAAAAGCCCATCTCTATGCTCTTAATAATTGTCCCTTAGGTATTTGAAGACTTACCAAACCCCAACTTCAGTCGTATCTAGGATAAATAGTCCTCATTCTTTCAGTGTGTATGAACTCATACATACTTGTTTTTATTTACAAATTGTGTAGGGTTTTGCTTTTAATTAGCATTTTGTTAAACACTTTTGACACAAATGCACATACTTTTGACATTAGATGAACAGTCGCATTTAATTTACATAGATCTCTATTGGGTGTCAAAGCATCAGGGCATCACATAGCATGTTGCAACAGCCCATTCATGCTGTGACAGTTGCATAACAAAATTGTCTGGATTTTTTTTAAAGAGCTTCAATTTTCACCATATGCAAAGTTTTTAATCAGACTGGTTTCTTATATTGCACACACAATGTCAGTAAGCTTGTATGTGCTTCAGGCAAAGGTGAAAGTTTAAAAGCGTCTTTATTAGGCACTAAGCAATTTATTCAAACTATTCATGGAAAGTATTAAACAAGTTAAATGATAATTTTAATTTATAATTAAAAAATATAGGTTGAGAGGTGACCTTGTGGCTGCCTATAAGTTCATCACGGGGGCACAGAAGGGAATTGGTGAGTTTTTATTCACCAAGGCTCCCCCAGGGGTTACAAGAAATAATGGCCACAAGCCAGCAGAGAGCGGATTTAGATGGGACATTAGGAAGAACTTCTTCACAGTTAGAGTGGCCAAGGTCTGGAATGGGCTCCCAAGGGAGGTGGTGCTCTCCCCTATCCTGGGGGTCTTCAAGAGGAGGTTAGATGAGTATCTAGCTGGGGTCATCTAGCCCCAGCACTCTTCCCTGCCTATGCAGGGGGTCGGACTCGATGATCTATTGAGGTCCCTTCCGACCCTAACATCTATGAATATAGATTTGATTAGCTTTAGTGTGCCTTTCTAAAGGAGATTAAGTTGCTACAGATACTTGAGTCAGCCCTCTTCTAGTCCTTAACAAAAACAGTGGGAGATCATTTTTATTGAAAAAGAACAACCTTTCTGGGGAAAGAAAATGGATATATGAGACATAACACTATGTAAAGGCTGTTCATAACTACCCAAATGAAAGAAATGTTGTTATTCAAATAAGAGGTACACACACAGTATGGTAATAAAGGTAGTATACCTTTATGGTAATCTGTGGAGAAATACAGCCTAAGCTTCTCAAGTAGTAACAGCCTTTTCAAGGGACTGTCATTTTACATGGGCTTTTGAAAATTAATTACAGCTGTCCTACTTTCTCTTTTTGAGTGAACCCCTCTGGGTCCTAACTTCCTTGACTCTGGCAGATGTTGCTTTCCCCCTTCATTAAGGAAGCTGGCACACAAGAATGCAATGATTGACAAGTCTCCCTGTCCTATGCAGTCCCTGTAGGTCTGTATTGTCCATCACAATACTGTATGCTAACAGCCTTTTTGAATTACTATGCATTTTCAAGTAATCCTACAATAAATTTTATATTGCTTTTTAACATCTGTGTTCTGAAGTCTCTTTGATGATTATTAATTAGTACTTAATACAACATCCAGTGAATTCTTCATATTCCTATTTTGTTTTCCTCTTTAACTGAGTTCTGTACCGCTATAGAAGTGGACAGAAAAGTGATGCATGCTGATAGAAACATTCTATAATACCTAGCCTATAAGGAATAGATGACCTTGTGATATCCCTTGTAGCCCTACTTTCTTATGATCCTTATAATGGCTAAATACAGACATTCAAAAAGCCCCTGGTGGAAGTTACAGCAGGATCCAACCAAACAGATGTTTGCTGTTTGGGGGGCGGGGAGGGGGGGTTGTATCCTGCCCTCACTGGCCTCTGAGGTGCTCCCACACATTTTCCAGAGTGCTCCCTCTCCCTAGAGCCCCCCCAGGGAATGGTCAGCAGTGGCTGGGGGAAAAGCAGGAAGAAAACAGAGGCCACCCTCCACAACCTGCTGGCTGGGGTCTGGGAAGGGAGGTGGACCCCCCTGGGTCTGCAGGGGGGGCTCCATTCCACCCCCAGCCTCTTGAAAGCTGCAGTCCAGCAGCTGCATCACAGCTCAGCCTGGCCAGGGCCCCTACAGGGAAAAGGCTCAGGAACAGACTCCAGAGCCCTTTCCCCACAGCTGCCCTGGTCAGGGAGCACCACAGCACTGCCAGGCCAGGACTGCTGCAGGGACACAGACCCCGGAGCCCTTTCCATGCTGTGCCTTCTACACCCTTCCCTCCCACATCCTCCGTTTCCCCGCTCTGGGCTCAGCATGCTGTAGGGCCAGGACAGCTGCAAGAACAGAAACCCCTCTCCCACCCCACACTGCCAGGCAATCAGTGACAGATGCAGGGTAGCGCTGGCCCAGACTGAATTCCCTCCACTCCCTTTCCCCCCTCCCATTCTGAAAACAGCTCGAGGCTGGGAGACAGTGCAGACACAAGTTACCAAAGACACTCTGTTTTGAAATGTCTTCATCTGACTCATCATACAATGAGGGTCCAGATTTTCACCTGATCAGCTACTTTTGAAGTGGTCTGCAGCTGTACACTTGTGTTGGTCATGGCTATCGACTGCCTCCTGTGGCCAGATAGGGGGAAAATTGTCACTTCTGTCTGCACCCTTTAGGTTAGTACACATCTATCCTGGGTTAACTTAAAGTGGGATCTGACATTTTTAACCACTTTGTGCCATGATCACCTGTTCCATTTAATCCGTAAAGTGCTTTCTGTGTTCTTAAAGTGCATTAAGTGTAACATCTCTTCCTAGCAAATGTTTCTTTCAGTTGCATACAGTTTACCACAGTGATGGACATTTCTGTATGAGTAGGCCATGAATTCTTTATTCAGTTCACATACTAACACAACTTTCACTGCCTCTCTGTTCGCAAGTACATCTACAGGTGGTCAGTGGAACTGATTTCATCATGAGGGCAAAATGTATGCAGCTGAAACAAGAAGTAGTTCCTTTATGCTATACATTTTCAATTGAGCTTCAATGTTCAAGAACTTTTCTCTTTAATGTCCTGATTTTATTTACTGTGAAAATACTTGTAACCCTGGGCGCGACACTACATGCGCCCTCACCTGAATAATGGGATCCTGGGGTACCCGGTAGCCAGTAGCCCTGCCCAGCCCCCCTGGGAAGCTGCTGCAGTGCCCCCGAGCAGAGAGCCTCCCCTTACAATCAAGCACCCTCGCAGACAATTCTCAAACTATTTACAAGATTTAATTATTTACATCATAACAAATAATCATTAAATAAGCACATGGATATACTATCTAATAAACCCTCAAGAACTTATTTACACAGTCTCTCACTTGCACACGGTGTACTGGGGATCCCGTGTGCACTGCCCCTGGCGGGGTATCTCAGGGAGCGGGAATGTCTGTGTCCCTGCACGTGGTCTGTGGACGCTCCCTGGCACTGGTGTCCATCTCCGTGCTCCTAGGGTCTCTGAGCAGTAAGCAGTGGCTCCTCCGCAGTTCCTGTAAGACAGCCTTTCCCTGCCTTTGTCCCCCTTCCCTGGTTCTGCTGTGAGCAGTGTCTGGGCTGCAGGCTATAGCAACCCTCCTGCCCCACACAGCCTCACAGCCCTGACAAATGCAGCCCCTCCCTGGGCTTTGCCGGCCCCGGGGGCCCCTCACCCATCAGTGAAACTAGGGCAGACTCCGGCAGTCCCCACCCCCGCTCTGCGGTGCTCACCAGCCACACCAGCTGCAGTCAGGTCTCTTCAGACTTGGGTTCTCCACACCAGCAGTCCCTGCCTGCTCCTGCTGCCACAGCTTCTCCACTGCTGCTCCTGCAGGCCCCTCTCAGAGGCTCTCCGAGGGACCACTGCGCTGAGACTCTGAATCTGGTCTCCAGCCTGTCCCTTACCCCCTCTCTCTTGTCCCCCCACGGGAAAAACTGCTCCCCCTTTTATCCAAGCCTCTCAGCCAATCCCAGCTCAGCGCCCTTCCCGGGCTTTTGCTAACTGCTCTCTTTCAAACTTTGCTGGGGTTACATCACCCCTCCCACTTCCAACAGGGCTGCTCCCAAACAGCTTCCCTTGCCCTCAGAGCCTACAGTATCCCCTCTGGGACAAACTCTGTCTCTCTGCCAGGCAGCCCTTCCCATTCTGTTCAGGTGGGTCCATTTTTTAAAGGCTGCTACATCCTGTTAAGAAGTTTCTTGTTTTGTCAGGTGTTCCTTTTGTGATAAATTAACTGATGGTTTGGAAGCATTCCTGATCAATGACCAAATGAAAAATTGATAAGGACTTCAAGATTTTTATGTAACCAGTCACCGTAGTTGAGTAGAAGGTGGTGAATTGACATTAGGATGCTAGAAGTTTTTTTTTAAACTTGATGATATTAAAAGTGAGAGAGACATTTTAGAATCACAGCCTTTCACAGTCTTTGTATCATTATGCTAAATTAATGAGTATCATGTCAGCACAATTTATTTTTAGTGTTACTCTAATTGTGCTGTGAGCCAGTATGCTGCTTGCCTCTTTTCTGGGACAAGTTTGCTCCATGGAGCATTCAGTATATATAACTTTTCATACTATGGTTCATAAATGCTTGGGGACTGCATCAGTAGCAAGCAGAAGACAATGGAGGACTTAGATTTGTATTGTGCATGTTCAACAAACCTTGCAACAGCCTTTTCTTAATATATCTGAAATAAATTGGGGATTCAGCTAATACAATTGCTTGTTTGCCTCTCAAATGACTTTATTGGTTCTTACAGAATACCACTCAGAAAATTGAAGAAAGTATTATATGCTCCTTACCTAACCTGTAGTCACTAAAAGTTCCTCCTCCACACCTGATCTACAGATGTTATTTCCCTTATTAGCACTGGTATAGAAAGTGGTAGGTGAAGAAGAAATGCTGTGGATGTGTGGCAAATAGAGGTTGGTTATGGAGAGGCCAGGCAACCAAAGGCATGCCAAAGGATCCCATTTATCCCAGTGCAGAGTGAGTAGAAAGAGTAAAGAAAGTTTGCTTCGATGCTTCTAGAGGCTCTACATCTTCATACATCTGCTCATTTAAAATCCCTGCAAATACCGTAGGTAAGGAAATGGAGGTTACTACAACTCACAGGTTTTTAGTGGCAATGTAATAATTCTGCAGGTTCCATAAATCAAGCAAATCTTAATCTCCTTAAGAACTACAGAAGTGTACTGAGAGAAAGGGGAGGTTGGTGAAAGGAGCTAGTAGAGGGAGGAAACCTTCCCTTCATGTTGGTAATGATTTATGCAGAAAGCTGAGTAAGCAGTTCTTCCCTTCAACCACCTTCATTGCTCCCTGGAAGGTTAGCTCTCCACAAGGTTTTGCTGGCCAAAACCAACCTACCATAGTCTGCTTAACACTGGTGACTAGCTTTTAAACTGCTAAACTTTGTTTTTGTGTTTTATGTTTAGAGTTTGCTTTTGTGGAGTGGTGTCTACGGTGTCTGCTCTCCCCCTCCTCTCCATCCCACCCCAGTAATTCTACTTGTCTAAGAACTAAATATTTCATGCACAAAGGAATTACAAAGGTAAATATGATGTTCCTTTTATTTACTCAATGGTTAAAGCATCCTGTGCCTGATGGTATTTTAACCAATATCTCATAGTCCTCAGGAAAGTGTTTGTCATCAAGACAAGATAGTGTTTGGGGACAAAGGGCATTTTCAATGCCTCCTGTTGGTGCTATTTACTTTGTGTATAATACTTATGAGTAGGTGGTGACTAGGACACTCATAGGAAGGATATTACTTAGGTTTCAGTCCCTATTCCATTAATTAATTATTTATTCAAAGAGGATAAATATCAACAGGGAAACTGAGAGTGCTCTACTCCTAGTACATCCTACAGCCTCATGCTGGGATACTTCCTTGAGAGATGGAAGATGCGGTTTCAAATAGCCTCAGGGAGACGTATTCTTCTACATTTTGTCCAAGTGTTATAACTCCTGAGCTGTTGGAAAAGAGGACATGCCTTCTTTCTGCCAGAATTTTGGGTCACTATCTTTCCAGCTAAATTTGGAGAATTTGACCCAAATTCACAAACAGATCAGGAAGCCACATATTTCAGTGAACTTATTCGGTATGGGCAGGCATTACATTTAGGTCAATCTAAAGGCCCAGTTGTTCAGGCAGTCAGAGAACTTAAATTAGCCAAAAAACTGTGCGCCCAATCTGAGTTAGTTTATTTGAGTAGGTGCACTAAATTAGGCAGAGATCAGATTGACCTGATCTCAGAAAGGGTTAACCTGCTTTCACAAACATGCTCCAGCCTTGTGACTGTGCTATTTCCCTCCTCCCGCAACAGGCAACCTCCCCTGGACCCACTAGCCTCCCCTACCCCTTGGGTCCCACCTTCCTCTTCTCCTACCCCAAGTTACTTACATTGTGATCTCTGCATGGCTCCCAGGAGTACTGAACAACTATGTACTGTGCCCAGTCTTCATTTAGGTGGCTTAAAGTAAGCTATGTGAACATAGACCAGGTGTGGCAAATAGTTGCACGGGTGCATTGTTGGTTAAAAAATCTGTTCTATATCCATTTAAGAATGCAAGAGGCTTCACTTATAACTGAGATGGTTGTCACTGTTCCATAAGTATGCCAATATTGCAAAAGAGCAGCAAGCACTAACATATCATAAAATGACCTGTAGAAACCTTGCCAAGTGGCTGCTGTAATGAAAACCACACATCTTTGCAATTTTTATAACCTGCACCAGATATTGTGTGTTTTAAAGGATGTGCTCTTACATTTTAATTAAACCAAAGGCTACTGAATATTTAACAAATGTTCTCTCTGCAATTTTAATAGTCCATTGAGTGTTAAATTGACAATACTGTACCTCATCTTCTGAAATATTTTCCTTTATATTTTACTTATGATGTAATAACCTGACTAGTTTTCTAGTTATGAGTCTTCCAGTGTTGATAAACTCTGGATTTTTACTGTATAAAACAAGATAAAGAAAACCACTAAAAAAAGTTTCATAATTCTTATGGTTGTTTGCAAGTTATAAAGTCTGATCCTTTCCCCAATCTCAGCTCAACCTTAAAATAGAAAACAGCTGCTTGTTGGTGCCCCAGAAAAGTAAAAATTTAATAAAAATGTCCTGCCTAAAAAACAATGAAGATTTTTTTTGTGTGCGTGTGTGAGGAGGGGTTATTATTTAGGTATGATGATGACAAAACAGTGATTCCATGTGTTATGAATTGTTAGATTTATAACACGTAATATGTAAATTGTTGACTAGAAGCACTTGCAGGTTGCTAATACCTAGTTATCCACATGTGTAGTTTAAAAAGCAGAGTATGTGAATGCAGTTGTGGCCAAAAAAAGCCATTAAAATGTTGGGCATCATTAAGAAAGCAATTGCCATGAGAGCATACCATTATACCAATCCATGGTCCACATCTGGAATACTGTGTACTGTTCTGGTCTCCACATCTCAAAAAGGATGTAGTAGAATTGGAGAAGGTACAGGGAAGGACAACCCAAATGATACTAGAGGGTTCTCACTAAAATTAGTAGGAAACAGGATGAAAACCAATGAGAGTCCTTTTTTATATGATGCATAATTAACTTGTGGAATTAATTGCCAGAAGAGGTGGAAGCAGCAGATAACATTCAAGTTCAGAAAGGGACTGGACAAATTCATGATCTGTTAATAGCTCTGGAAGACCATGGTTGGAGATTTTTCCTTTGGCTTCTCTAAATCTATGGTGGGTGCCAGGGAGGGTAATGGATAGGGGATAGATCATTCTAGATGCATCTAATTCAGTGCTCACCCTCCAAAGTATCCATTCCTGCCACTGTTGGAGACAGGATACTGGGCTAGATGGACCAGCATGGCACTTACGTTCTTATGTTCGTGAAATGCTATCAGTTATACATGGTTCACTAACCCTACATATACTACTGAATACTGACATTTTATTACCATAGCCCTGATCCTATTTGCTAATCAATAGCCATTCTTTAAACATCAGTTTAAACATCAAGCACTTCGAGCATTCAGGCTGTTTGGAATTATAGAATAACTGTCATTTTTGATAAAGAACAGCAAACAACAACAAAAAATAGTTCAAAGTTTTTACAATTTAGAAATGTTTTAGTCATCCAACTAGAAATACTTTTCTGTAGCTTAGTACTTTTACATTCCTTCTAATTAAAATGTGGCTCTCCAACTTAAAAAGGGTTTTGAACAATTGATCATGCTTGAATTTTCATTAAGGTGCCTGGAGGGAAATGTACCAAGCAGGCTCTCTAGAATGAAAACAAGAAGCAATAACTATTTATAGACTGGGCATCTCTTTCTTCTGCTATTTCACTGTAAGTAGGTGCTTAGAAGTGGAATAGCGTCCTTGTTTCAAACTTGTTCAAGTTGGGTTTGATTTCATGAAACCCCCAGCAAAATATTTTACTTTAAAAATGCAATTTTATAAAGAAACCTAAGTCACTTTGAAATGCTGTACTGTTTGTTTAAAGGGACACTGTCAAGAGGTAAATCCTATATTAAAAATAAGTACTGTATTTAATCAATTTTCAGACTCGGTTTCCCCCTCTCATTTAACATGCTACCCACCCTCCCCCCACACTGCCTCTGCACCCCACCATCTCCCCCCTGCAACCTCTTCCCCTCCATTTTCCCACCCACTCAGCCTCTGCTCCCCAATCTGCCTCTCTCCCCCCACCGGACCCCTGTTCTGCGAGGCAGGCTTCTTCCATCCCCATTCCAGCCTGGGGCATGGAGCACAGCCCCAGCCCAGCCCCACAGCAGCACATGCAGCCCATATGGTTGCTATGGGGGCTGAGCAGGGGCAGTACTTAGTGCTCCAGACTGGAATAGGGCCAAAACCTGCCTTCAGGGAGCAAGGGGAGGGGCAGGGGAAGCAGGGAACAGGAGCTGGGGAGGGGATTCGGGGGGAAGTAGAGGTTTTGGAGGACTAGGAGGGGGAGCAGAGTTTAAGGAAAGGGATGAGCAGAGGCTGGGGAGAGGGGCAGGGGGGAGCAGAGGGGGAAGGTGGGGCTGAAGGCTCGGAGCAGGCAGCAGGGCAGGCACAAGTAAGGGGCAAACTTCTTGACCTCCCCATATCACTTACCTCCCCACTACCTGCAGCAGAGGGCAGAATGAATTAAAGTTGACCTCCAATGATTAGATTCTACTAATGGAAAATTATGATAACATATATAAATTTTGCATGTATAGAATCTAATTAATGGGGGTAGGGGTGGGAATCTTAAATTCAGGGTTGTTTTAAATTTGATTAAATATAGTGCTACTTTAATGGACTGTTCACTAATTTTGCTGCTGTCTTTCTGCTTTGCTTGCTTTAGCCTAAATACTAAACTAATTTAGACATTTTCACTTTTCTGGTCAGGTCTTCATATGGTACCTGACTCTCTGCTTTCTGCTGTTAGTCCTTTTTGTATTTGGGTTCAGCCCTTGCCCACACTGTTGCATTTGGATATGCAACTAGGATCACTATTTGTCTTTTTTCTTTTATTTTTCTTCCATTTTCTTTTTTTATAAGATCCGGGAAAATTCTCTGCAAGGAATAAAGAAAACAGTGGTATGGGAGTATTAGATCTTTTTTTATTGGGTCATATCAACTTGAATTTTTTGAATAGATTTACAGTCTTGAATGGGACATTTGATGTCATTAAAGGAAACTATTTCATCTTATCTGCAAAAAAATGGTTACTGCCTAAGAAATTATCCTTTTCTTGAAATTCAGCACCAGTTTTTCACTCTGGATTGAAAGCACATCAGTACATGTCAGGCATCCTTAGATTATAATTTGTAAGTCATTCCTGTTCAGTATAGTGGAAAAGAGAGAGAGGAAAAATATAGTACGAAGTAGGGTAGAGTGAGAAACTAGGAGCCCTATCTGCATTTCTCTTCAGTGGTGATAAATGTGGCACCAGTCAGTTGAAAGCCCTATATCAATTCATGCCTTTCAACAAAATTGGATCTCCTGTTTGCTTGGTACACACCATTCAGCATTCACCACCAACTTCTTAAATTGCCATAATGCCCCAAAGACCACACTGCAGCCAAAGGGCAGTATTAGGCAACTCAAAGGCCACTTTGTATTGAGAACTGACAGTTGGCTGGCTTCCCAGCTGTTCTGAGAAAGTATGGGGCACAATGTATAAAGGTGCTTAGCTCTTCTTGAACCAGAAAAAATCTTCAGTTAAGGTTATGGGGAAAAGGTCTTGCTAGTTCTTATGTTCAAACAGTCTTCTGGTTTATGTTCCTATAGCATTACCCATTTTGGTTGTCAAAATATTTCATCTTTCCAACCCATCAGGTAGTGTTAAGGTGAGTCTTTTTACAATTTCCACTGGCCATTCTGTTCTTATAATTTCAATTTAGCACTACAACTCCTGAGAGAGAGTGAGTGCACACGTATGTTTATTTCAGGAATGTGGACATCAAATACAGTTAAAAAGGCATGATCAAAAAAATTGCACATGGAGGAGCTTTTATTATGACAGATGAAAATGAAAGCAAAGCATTGCAGGAGAGTAGAATGTTAACTATTTTACTAGTATTCTTTAATTCATGTTATCACTATCTTGAGCACAAAGCTTACCAGGAGTGATATATTTGCTTTCTTCTCAGCACAGCTGAGAGCAGTTTCTTGTGGCAATCTTTGCATGAAATGATTTCAAAATGAAGTTTACTCTGGAAGCTATCAGTTGTGTTCTTGGCTGCCTGGTGAGTAATATAATTCAGACATGTTTCCCTCCTGCTACTGTACTGCTTCCAACAACAGTGCCTCTATAAATAAGAACATGTAGTAGAGATAGTGTAATCTGCTATACATGGCCATAGGTCATTTGATCTCACCAGTATAATACAAATACTGTCTTGAATGTAGAAAATATATATCCTCCTGCCTGATATCCACTGAGTAATTTTCTAGGGCTGTGCAAAGCTTCTGGTGCTGATTTGATTCGGAGGAGATTCAGCCCAATTTGGTGGCTGAATCTCTGAATCTGAATCGAATTGGGAGACCAGTAAAAAGGTCTGAATTGATTTGAAGCTCTCTGAATCAATTTGGAAAAGATTTGGAGAGTTTCGGAGATTCAGGCAGTCCTCACTTGCTGCTGCAGGGAGCTGTACCTGGACTCCGTGCTGGTAAGTAGGGGGTGGAGGGGCAGGGGCTTGAGGAGGAGGTGAGGGGACCATGGGGACCCCTGCAAGGCCCTATCCCCTGCCTGCTCCCCAGCAGCCCTGAGTGCCCCCCAACCCCTGTCCAACCCCAGCATCCAGATCTTC